CATTCTGTTCATATTCAGTTTGCACCAGGGCATTTACATTTCTTAGAGCTGCCTGCAATTGACAAGCATGTTCCCTGAATATTTATGCAAATACTTCTCTTGGCAGCAGTTTTCACAAATTTCCCACCCAGCACATATTGGCTTCTTCTGCAGTTGTACAGAGCTGGAAACCAAAGAAGGAACAACTTTAAACACTGTTTCTTTGTTAATAGCTACTCTCATTAAAACGGACCTGGTATAAATCAGGGTGAGAGAGAAAGGAAGTGAATGAGATGATAGTTTTCCAGTGCCTGAGTTTAAAAAAAGGGAGAGGGTACAAACAGTATTATGAGATAGACTGTAGGACTGTAAAGGATATAGTTTCATTACTAATGTTATATATAAAAAAAGTAATAACATCTTATAACAGCCAGGAAAACAAAAAAATGACACAAAAATGAAAACTGAGACAGTATAAGCAAAGAGAAATTAAACAGAAATTATTTTAAATGCTAAAAAAACAGAGGATAACATTAAAAATAGCAGAAAACTCTGATTCCTGTTCTGCATGTAGCTTTCCACCTTTTAATACAATGAAAGGGCATTTTTGTGTGTTTCTATTATTTACACTCACTTTAGAAACAGATAGGCTGAGTAAGGAAGAAAGTGTGAAAAACCATCTACAGACTGGTTTAGGAAATGAAGCTTAAAAGAATCAAAAGACGCAATTCTGCTATCAGAAAGAGTTTTCAGGCTATCAAATAGGCGCTGCCTCCTTCTCCCATGCAGAGTGGAGGGGAGAGGTCCCCCCCAGACCGCTAAGCACAGAGGAGACGTGTGGCCTCAGCCTCCTCCATCGCCTGCACGTGCAGCAGGGCTCTGTCCAACCCAAGGAGGTAATTCCAACTAGCATTCCTTTGGTAACGTGCAAGGCAATGGAATTAAATTACCCTAAAAGAACCTCCCTTTATATACATACGTGTGTCTGTGTATACATATGCACACATATACAAGCATATATGCACATATATATGTAACTTTTATACACATGGTTATAAAAAAATGTAATAAGTCAGAAGGCTACAGAAGGCTACAGTCAGAAGGTGCAAAGTATTATGGTTCGGTAGCTAAGACTACCATACGCTATCTAGACTTTCATGTGGAATAAGCAAAATTCCTCTTTTGTGGTTTAGGATTATTAGCATTTGATTCAGCAAGCATGAGGATTGCCTGAGAGGAAAGACTCCCCCAGACCGAGGCTGCAAGCAATCAACCTCACACAGAACCCAAAATAACAGCTTGAACGTTTCAAACAGCCATATGTTAAAATACTGCAAATTTATTGTGTTTAGAATTATAGATTCTCCTTTATCAGGTTTTGAAGGAACTATTCCAGAACTGTAGGTTTATAAGTGGGTTCATGCTGTTTTATTGTTTCCTCTCAAGATTATATTCTGTATTGCTAATAATGTCTCTATAAATTCTTCAATGCCACGTAGCTGTACCTTAGTATATTGACATATCTAAAGATGACTCTTTTTCCTAAATAATATATTCAATATCATAAAAAATGCTGTTTTCATATCCAAAATTTACATATTTTACCCAGGCTACATCTCATTTATGCACACATGCAAAATGTTCATATGTGAAAACTCAGACTCCTGTTGATCTGAACAGGACTCCTGTTGATTCCTCATTGAAGCTTTCAAATTCTTGCAACTACATCTAAAAGGAATTTAAGTTACTCATTTGCTTTTTTTTGGAAAAAGCATCTTTCACAAGCAGTTAGCTCTCTTGCATAATCTACACTGATATTACCTTGTTCTCCACACCTATTGTTTAAAATGCCAAGTAGAGAAATTCAGTTGTATGCTTTTCAAAATATTTTTTTTCTGTATTTATTCAGAGTGGAAGAACATGAAAACTGCAGAAGGGCTGTCTCTCTTCTCTAATACATAACACTATTTTTCAAATCTTTTAGGAAATAAAAAGCAGTATTTACCTGAGTCAGCATGTCCATTTCCCCAAGTAAATTGCTGAACATTTCATCTATATCATCACATGTTTGCTCCATCTGAAAGAGAAGTCCACAGATGAAGAATCATTACAAGTTCATTTCAATGTTGGCAACTGTCAAAGCAGAGAAGAGCCAATGTTCGTGCACAATGTTTTCCCAGGTAGTTTTAAAACAATTGCTCCTGACTTGCAATAATTTGAGAAGAAAGCCTCCTTGTACAGTTTAGAAATAACTAATAACAGATCTGAATCTCAATCCTGTATACGCTTGAACACACACTTGGACTCTGCATTCACTATGAGCTCGACAACTTCAGTCCTTTTTAGAATTTACGTTTCACAGAATTCATTAGCTAATAAATGCTGGATGCATCTTAAACATCAAAAATACCTGGCAAGTGAAAAATGGAAAAGGAAACAAACTTTGAGGCTGAGAAACTCCTAGTTGTTTTGTCCCAAAGTCTTGCTTTCTTTGGCTTGACCAGCTGAAACAACGGGAGGGTATGAGGTGTTATCTAGAGCAGCAACTGACTATGATTACACGTATGACTCTCTTTCTCAGGATTTCTCCCTAAATTCTGACAAATATTAGCACACTCTGAGAACTCTCAGCTTGCCTAATCTCAGGGCACCAGGCCTCGGTAACGTGCCTGGCCTGCAGGATGCCCACTGGGGTCATCACTTGCAGGAGAGGCAGCAGTGGGGCCAGACCAGATGACACTGATGTAGGGACACAGCTTCTCTCGTACTCTACCACCACTGAGATCTCTCCTCTCCAGGGAGAGGAGTCTTGTGAAGAGGTGTCCTACATGGAACGGTGACAAACACGTGAGCTATAAGCACCATTTTCAGAAGCACCAGTCTGCGAGGGATTGCACAAACTCTGGTACTGATCACATACATGGCTTAAACGTGGGCATACTTAAAATACATAAGTAGACCTATGGATTCATTGGATTTGTGTGCACTCTACAGGATCAGGACTAACACAATGCCAAAATAGAATCCCCTGAGGACAAGGACAACTCTATAGATTACAAAGCCTGGCAAGAAGAGAAGACCACTAAAATATGTCTCATGTTTGAGAATTATTTTCAAATCCTAGAACTGCACTATGCTTACTTGAAGCTAGGATTTTCAGAAGATGCCACTGCAGTTTGCTGGCACTAAAGTGCTTCATTTCAAACCCAAATTTCATGAAAATCCCAGCTGAAAGCACTCCCCATCCCCGCTTCCCCTCTCCCCCCACAAAAGAAAAGATTGGAAAACGGAGAGAAAAAAAATAAACCAGCTTCTGTAATAGTTGGCGAGGGAAAAAGCAACACAATTGAGTACCGGATTACACATCAGTCTACCTTAATGTGATTTTTACAGATACTAATAAATATAAAGTTGCTTTCTTTGCCACTATATGATTTTATCACTCTTCAGTTATATTTGATTCATGACAGAAAAATAATGTAATCATAGAAAAAGGCAACATGCAAAGAATTTCCAGTGTTAAGTTGGAGCTGATTAGTCACTGCTAAATTTTCCTTATCAATTCATATAAATTACATTTAATATTAGAGTTTTGGAGATCTTAAAAACATGGGGGAAGGGGGAAGGCCTCAATATTAAGAATGAAGTATAAAGTAGTTTTAGAAAGATAAGGTTAGCATCCCCATTACCAAAGCACATGATAAAAATATCCCTGGGTCAAAACATACTGAGAGATGTCTTAACTAACATGAGAATCCCCAAAGTTTCACAAGGATTTTGTCAACTGCTAGCAAATGCTTACCAACAACAATATTTTCAAATGACAGTTAAGTAAATCTCCAAATGTGTAACTGCATAAGAATATCTTATCTATCTACTCTCTTCTTTACTTCATTCTAGTCATGACTTGTTTCCACCACCGCACTCACTTTTCTTCCTTTGATTGTCCCAGCAGGAACAAATAGGCAAAGCAAAACACAGCACTGGGAATTATCCCGTTCAAGAGAGCGTGTATCAGACTGGGAAATTCTTTCTTTGGGCTTTTACAAACAGCCCTGAAATAATTCAAACCAGAAATTCAAAAGTAAATTCAAAAGTAAAACCTGTAGATGTATGAGCTACTCTTAACAAAAGACAAGGAAAGACTTACCCAAACCCCTAAAGGAAAATTTCATACTCAATCCACCTTTCTAATCACTAAACAGCATTTTTTTCTGTATGATTTATATATATATAGTACTACTAATAGTAGAAAAATGAAGAAAAATATAAATATGACAATAGTTTTACAATAAATTTCTCATGATAGGCATAAGATACTTAAGTAGAAAAAAATAAGAAGAGGAAATTGTGGTTTTTTAAAAAAAATGAGGAGGGGCACATGGGACAGCATACATGTGAAACTTTTAACCTATTTTTAAAGTGACTGACTTTCAAGCTGATGACTTTTGAAAGACTTTTGAAATATTTTCTGAAGTAACACCAAGAATACATATACCTGCATATCTAAAGGATGGGAGCATTTTCTCTTCAGCTGGTTATTTTAACCATCAAGTTTCAGTATCTACTTTATGCATATTAAATTATCTTTTGTAAGTTCCTATAATACAAAACATCACATTTTGACTCATCAATACATTTATTCACCCCTCATTTACCAGAAGTTCCACAGGGCTATTATTTTTTGTCTTCCCATTTTCAGGCTTAGCAGCCTCTTTGCTGATACAAATCATTAAACTCTAAACTAAGAGAAATATGAATAACAACATTCTTGTATTTTGTCCTACTCTTTGCATTATTAGCACTCTTGTGTTTCAGCTCACTCAATGACAAAACATGGTTTCTGCACACATACTTATTCTTTTTAAATTATAGTAGCTGAGTCCTACTTGCATCCGTTCAGGTGCCTCCAAACTTTTCCTTGTTATAAGAACTGGTTCCACATCCCTGCACCATCCCACAGTACTGTAGGGTACTGAATTTCTAAACTTAGGAAAACAGCTAAATATCTAATGATATACTCTTCTTTTAAATGGAGATGTAAAACTATACCTTTTATTGAGCTATGGGCCAAAAAGTTGGAATTAAGTTCTCTCACCTCTAATACCAGATGCAGAGAAAGTCTGTAATGGGAACCCTATTATTGACACCACATGATTCTGTATCATTGCAAACATCTTGTTTTGACAAGGTACTAGAAAGAATAAAAATACTTAATACTTTGCTTTTTTAAGAGTTGATAAAGTTTGATGATTTGGATGCTTATAGAAGACAGGATTGCTATGTCTATGAACCAGACATAAGAAATGACAGAATCAGTATCTCTTGACAGTAAATCAACAGAATGGGCAGTAAACAAACGATACAAGATTCACCTTACTTAAAAATAAAAAAATACTACAAAGCTGACATGGTGACTACATGGTGTAACTATAAGAACAAGTAGCACAACTACTAATACAATAATATACTAAAAAGTTTTAAAAGTTTGCATCTAATACCTCTATAGGCATTACTACAAGTTACTCCTCAACAGGAAGACTCGCAATCAGAAAAAAAGCTTAAAGGTTTGTGCAATATTGAACAGGAAACACCACCAACGGTATCACAGGCGAGATACCATCTCTGCAACTCAGCTGCAGTTGGGTTGTTGCGATTTAATCATCCTAAGGGCTAGAAAAAAGAAAAAAGGAATAAGAAACAGCAACCTATCAGTGAAAGGCTTACTGTGGAGTCTTGCCAGGAACAGCATTAGGAGCCAGCCCCCTTAGTGACCTCGCAGAAGAGATACAAATATATGTATCAAATTAAAATTAGTGTCTTAAAATATGACATATGCAAAAGCAAGGGTTAAAAATATGAAGTAGAAGTGAAGTGGGGTTCATGTTACGTTAAAAAAATCTAAAGCACATCTTATCTCCCAGTCTCTGCCTTACAGTGTTTAAGAGCCACATGCATGTTCTAGGGACTTCTCTCTTTCATTATACTTATATAAACTGTTACTTTATCCTGGTGTAATACTAAGTTATATTCCAAAAAGAAGTGATCAATTAAAGATGATCACCCCAGCCCTGCTGCTTTTCTAACTTTCTGCCATTCATAAGCATGGAATTCTACCAGAAAAAGTTTGCACACACAAAGATAAACCTGAAAGCAGTTTATCTTTCATTTCACTTCTTTTTTCTGGGAAGTCTGGTGTGCCAATGACTGTTGGTTTAGTTGCAGTTGTAATTATACTGCATATTTAATGCAGAATAGGTTTGACATGTCAGAACCCTGCTCATGATGGACCAGGGGCTACACACTAAAACACTAAGAGTTGCAGGAAGTGGGTGACATAATTACAAGGGTTTTATCCTCACTGTTTGAAGAATAAGATATTAGGCTTTGGATTAGAATTAAAATGGCAATAATAATCTTAATGTGAGAGAATCTGTCTTTAATTCTTACCCGGGGCATGAAAGCATCTTCAGATGACTATCCCATATATAACACTTGACAGCATTTTTGATTTTTTGCTCCAGACACATTTTAATATACATCACAGAACCAGTTTGGACCCAAATTGCCTTGTTATCTTGTATCACACCATTGCTCATGTTGACACATTTGGCAATTATACCTATATAACTCCTACTGTACTACCTCTGGAATCATACATGCAGATGTAAGCACAAACATCTATAGAGAAGGATATCCCAAACTCAGAGATCCTACTTCATTTTCCATAACTATGACACATATACAACTACAATTCTATATTCTTAAAAGTTTATTCTCTCTCTTCTGTTTTGAAATTCATGGTTAATTCACAGGTGGTGCAGGGATAAGCGTGCAGCTAGGAGAGAATATAGGGAAAGTCTGTATTAGACAAAAAGATTCAGACTTCACAAACCTGAAAACACTGTTGCACTTTAATGATCTGTTTGCATTGTTGAAACTTCAACATATCAGGGATTCCTACACATGAAAGCAACAACTGAACACAAGTACGACATATATATATATTGCACATATATATTTGGGAACTTAACTTTCCATTGGCTATAGAGAGTTTTAGTACATGTTTGCAAAGCA